AAAAACAATAAAGTCATATAAGTGCTGAAAAATATGTGTTATAAGAGAGTAACATACACAAAAAAAGGAGAGTTAAGGATTATTGATGTTTGATAGGAAAGAAGGAGCAAACCAACCAGCAATGTATGAACAGTGAGAGACAGGGATTGACAGACAGACGTACAGACGAAACAAACAACTATACACATGAATGAACTAAACAGCATACAGAAATACAGACAGACCATCTGGGTGATCTGAAATGAGTGATTTACAAAGAGATAATGGGCCGGAACATACATAGCCTACCAGAATGAAGAAAAGCAGCATCAACAAACAAATCAAAAACAAGAGAGAGAGAAAGAAAGATGAAACACACCCTGACAGACAAACAAATGAAAAAACAGGCATAAAAACAAATAAGTCCTTACTACACAAAGACTTTAAGGCTGAATGACACAAAGACAGGCCTGACCCCTTACCTTGCAGAGGCTGACCCCTGACCCTATGTTGACCAACAGGTACGGGAAGATGTCAGAGTCCACACCCTGGAACCTGTACTCTGGATTGCCATGCCTCATGTAAGAAAATGCTTCATCTGGAATGTTTTTCAACAGGAAGTTGCAGCCTTCGATGAGACACTCAATCTCATCTTCTTTGTCGACCCTGAAATGGTAATAGAAAATATTTTACACTCCATTCGACACAAATAACATGCTTTATGGGGGTGGATTGCTTCAGTAGTGTCTGGCAAGGTTAATCCAGACTAAAGGGGACACAGTACACATCCGAAAGTCAGTGGCATTAACAGCGCGATCTTCCCCCATGTAGGAATCAAATGCACATCTTTTGCAAGTAAAGTCAAGAGCCAAACCATTCTACCACTGATGTCACTTTGGCTACCATTGGGGAACAAATACAAACTGAAAAGATTCAACAGAGTGAAGCTGATTTTTTTTAAAATAATAAAATAGAGATTCGGTACTCAGGAGTTTGTTGAGGTCACAACTGATTAGATTTTAAAAGTAGGTCTTTCCTTTAATAGCCATATTATATTTTTTCAGGAGCAGACAAAAATAATAACCACGCTCAATTAAGCAAATGTGAAAAATTACACCACAAAACAAAATACCACAATATAGATTACACAAACTGTTTCCCCAAATTGACAAGAGAACTGGTCAATATCATAAAGCAAGTTGAAAAAAAAAACAAAAACGTCAAAGGAAATCAGTTTCATTATCCATTATCTTCTAGATTGTGCATCTGCTGTTACTTTCAGCTGGTCTGCTTCATCTTCTTTTTCCAGTTTGTCCCTAATACAATGTCTAATGGGCAATCTTGTCTCTATAATTCTCAAAACATGTTCTAAACAACTCCATCTTCTCCTCTTCATAGTCATGTTGATATTTTCGATTCCAGCTCTTTCCAACACTTCATGTAAATTTGTAATAAACTCATTCCTTTTATTCAGTAAACATCTTATTTGAAAGTTTTTAAAATTTTAATTGAATTGCCTCGTTTGTTTTCCATTTCTGAATCATACATCAGTACCGCCAAAACATTGCTTTTACATATTTCCTAATTCAGTCTTTAGAGAGATGATCTTTGAACTTCACATGACATTAATTTTAGAAAAGCCATCCACGCATTTTCAAGTCTTTGATTGACACCATCAATGCAGTCTGCAGTTTTGGAGATAATGCTGCCAAAGTACTTGAATTTATTAATTTTGGCTACAGATTCTCCATAAAGAGTGATGGGAGGAGTTTCTGATGATAATCACAGCACTTTTATTTGGTAAAATTTATTACAGGGCTAACTTTTTTGCAGATCTTGCTAATTCATCATTCTTAATTGCACCTTTAAACACTGTGGTACTTGGGGGGGGGGGGGTTCTTATAGCTAATGAGGCTGCACTGTCAATAGCCAGCATACTCTTCATAAGACAGAGTACGCAGCAATGCCACAACCAGAAAATAGTGGCAGAGAGGCTGAGGATTCTGCCTGGATTGAAAATCATTTACATCAAACCTGATTTTCAAACCCTCCAGCAATGAAAAGAACACATGACAACATAATGCTGCTATGCATTAAGGGAATACAAATACAATCACTCTATCACACACACACACACATGAAACATCCACTGGTTCACAAGAACGAAAAAAAAAATTGTGACGAGACATAATGAGGCTTCACTCACTGCACTCCAAGCTTTCCTGAGACAAGATCTGTGTACTTGTAAGCCCCGCCCCCTGTCACTTTGATGACCTTGTTGACCATGCATTCTTTTGATTGGATGAGGTTTGCTTGGATAAAATCAAGGCAGGTCTCGATGTATTTGGTTTCAAACTTCACAAAGTGAAGGCGCACGCACTCCTGGTCTGTCTCTGACACATTGTAGATGGCACCTTTGTTTGAGCCATACTGGAATAGGCCATAAGAAATTTTAATTTTGTAACTGTTCTGAAGAACAACTAACCGAACTATAAAATTGTATCAAATGAATTAACAAGACAGTACACATGTGTCACGACTCATAAGGAGATGGAATCAGGCGCTCGTCAATTTTGGGGCATATGAAGTTATTGGTATTGTCTTAAAGCTTGTCTTTTTGTCTTGCTTTTGATGGAAAAAGTACCCATTTATCTTTTGTATAAGTCAAGATATTGGCAATTGAAAGAGGTGGGATCGCCTGGTTTCGGAGGTAAAATTAGTGAGAAAAAGGACACCAAATTAACTTTATTTCCTTAGCCTGAGAGTTTGTGGAAACTGAAAATATACATCTTTTATGCCTTTAATCAACGTTTTTCAGTAAAATCCACACAAAAATGTGTTCCTTAATGGGCAAGAAAGGTGTATAACCAAAAAACAAAAATTTGATAAAAATTCTAAAACCTTCGGGAAAATGCCAGTTTTCTTCTCTATCATTATTTTGACGAGCACCTGATTTCAACACGCTGTCTCATACAGTGCATTTAAAATAACTCTGGAGTCATAAATCCAATCGAGATTTTTTTTTTTTTTATGTTCTACCTCTTCAAATTTCATACGAGCCAAACACAGCACATAGGTAAATCTAACAAGATAAATAATGGCTAAAAAAATAAGATAGCTTAAATTTAAAATGAAAGGGATACATAATAGAGAGTGATATAACAAATTTAAGATAAAAAATGCAAACCCCTAATTTCAACTAAACACAAAGGGTCATTTTCTTAATCAAAGGGGAAGATTTTAAAGTTTGAACAAACAAAAATATCCATGAATAAAATGGACTTTCCATAAATAGATCATTCAGGTTAACCTATTTTTTAAATAGTAACCAGTCCCACTTACTGATTCTGGCTCATCAAAAACCATAGTCGACTTTTTCTTAACAAGGGAGCTGTATGCCACTTTGGCCAAAGAGCCTCCTGGTAAGACAAAGAGAGAACAAGAAATACAAATACACCCCCTTTTATGATTTAGAAAGCACACATGGAGGTTGATAACATCAAACACAAAGAGATGAAAAGTATACAAAAAAAACTTTAGTAAAAAAGCGATTGACTGTCACCTACACTATTTAATTAACTCTGTATCTATCTCCCTCTCTCTTTCTCTCCACACATTTTCAAAAGTTTCAGTTTCAAAACTTAAATTTAGGACACAAGATAACGAAAAATGGTCATGAATGTTTTATTAGAGAATTTAAATAACTGGGCCCAATTTAACTTGAAAGCAGTACAAAAAATGCAAACTATAGGCCTAATAAGTTTTATCTCAGTACCGATACATTTACAAGAAATTGGCTAACAAATAATTAACTAAATTAGCAAGAGTAGGCATAAAAACAAAATCATTTACCAATGTCAATTGCAAATCTTTTTGCATTGCAAATGTTGTGAAAAGCTTTCTCGGTCGGCAAGTCGATACTTTTCGCATAGCTCTTGTGTGCCATGGTGTCGTTGTCAATCCTGCTGTCCTCATTAGATGAATCGCACAAACGTTATACCATTTCTCTTCGCTGAAACAAGGGCAAGCTTTCCAAATCCTGCACTCCAATATGAAAAAAAAATCAAACTTGTTTGTATTTCACTACAGGAAAACTCGAGGCTTTATATTGTTTGTTTGTCCGTTCTGTTTTTCACACAGCTTTTAAAAAACGAAATGGCTAGCCGTACTTAAGACTGCCAGTCTAGCCATACTTAGATCTAGGTTTTGGCCCTATCGACTCTCAAACCTGTTAAATACACAGGCCTCATTAGATCTAGATCTAGTAATTATTCAGGTTCAAATACATGCAAGTCAGTAAGGCACCTTTTTGTTTTGTCTGAAATACAAATACTTGCATTGCAAACTAAAAATTTCATTTACAATTCAGCCATCAATATTAAGTATGGCTAGCCTGACAGTCCAGCCGTCCTTAAGTACGGCTAGCTTGGCTGTCTACCCGTACTAAAGTACGGCTAGCCAAGAAGTCTAGACTGCCAGTCTAGCCGTACTTATCTTAGGCCCTATTAACATTAGAAAACAGGAGGTTTAAAATACATGCACTGTCATTAAGGCACCTGGTTTCTTCTCAAATATAAAAAAATAAATTTTATACTATAGGTACTGCAAACTAAACATTTTTATTTACAATTCAGTAGGCCTATTTTCTTTTTTTTTATGGTCAGTCTAGCCATCATATTAAGAATAAGTACAGCTAGCCCAGCTGTCTATACGGCTAGCCAACCAGTCTAGCCATACTAGACTGCCAGTCTAGCCGTCATTAAGTACGGCTAGCCTCTTCCTTTAAAAAAAAATCAAGTAATCAAGAAAGCAGTGAATAGTGTCAGTGTCACATTGTTGTAGCGTAGTACTACAAATAATAAAAGAAAGGGGGTCCTGAGTGAATAAATACCAAGGGTCTCCAAAATGTCTTTCACATTATAGATCTAGATCTTGATACAACAGGTGGCTTACTTCAGACTTTGAGAATGAACAACAGTTTATTATTTTAATTTTTATAATAAAATCATACGATAACCATCAGAGCAGTCAGAAAGTATCAAGCACACAGAACTGTTGTCAGTACACCTAGTAGTAAACACAAGTGGATAGCTATAGAACGACAACTAAACACCATTGACTGATGTCTATAGTAACAGCCATCTTTTTTGACGTCATTGAGGGATTCCACTTTGTCAGTCATGGTGGCAACATGACCGCACGACAGCAGCCTGCCAACTCGGATTATTTTCTTGGCCTCGTATTTTCTCACCCGTGGTGAGAATAGTGCTGGCGAGTCTTTTGGCTATTCTCACCCGGTGCGCGTTCACCGTTATAGTCTAGATCTAGGCCAACAAATTTTGCGTTCACCCTAAACCACAGAATTCTACACTGTGATAACAGAAAAATTGTAGAATTCTGTGCCGTGAACAAACGTTCCATTACAACTGTAGCCTACTAAAAGCGTACAATTTTGTCTGTGGGCAGTGGAGAGAAAGAGAGAGAGAGGAGTAGCGCGAGAACTTCCGGTCAAAACAAAATGGCGACCCGCGTAGTTCAGCTTGATTCGAAAAGTTAAATAGCCGTAGCATCTTTGTAGACAACCAAATTAATTTACTTTTGTGTTTTAACATCATTTTTTAACTTTGTTTTGGTCAATTTGATCGTCCACATCGATAGACAGTATTCAGAAAGAGACAGAGAGAGAGAAGAGGGGAGGAGTAGATCTTGCGAGAACTTCCGGGCAAAACAAAATGGCGACCCCCGTTGTTCGGCTCGATTCGAAAAGTGAAATAGCCATAGCATCTTTGTAGTCGATAAAATTAGCTTACTTTTGTGCTATAACGTAATCTTTTCTTTGCCTTTATCCATTTGATCATCCACATCGATAGAAAGTATTCCGAAATTAGGAAAAACAGGTCTTGTTTCAAACCGGGTGAGAATAGCCTACGGTCGCAAGTCTCACCCGGGGTGAGAGGTCGATCGTATTCTATTCTCACCCCGAATGAGAATAATTTAGCCACTTCCTTTCTTTGCAATTTGCAGAACAGTTTGGTTCCGTTGTCTGTGATTGTGTAGCACCCTTCTTCCGCCCAGATTGATTCTGATGCAGCACACTACGTAAACTGAGATAGAAAACGGATCTAGAGTCTAAGAGTAGGCCTACGTACGAAAGCAAGTTCAAACAAAGTTCAATGACGTAGTGCAAATGATCGACCGTTTTGATCTGGATTGTTTCTTTTAAAGTTTTGTAAGCACAAGAAATTAAGCACTTGCAAGAGATTGAACTCAGTAGGAAGCTGAGCTGCAAATAGAGTAGAAAACTAATTCAAGACTGCAAGGTTTGCAAACGGATACTGAGAGGTGCAAAAGCAGTATACCAGAACTAGATTCTAGATCTTTGGAACCACAAAGAAGGACTCAAAGAGGGAAGCTTGGAAACTGTCAGTGCAAACCGTGTGCTATGCATGCCTAGATCTAGGCCTAGATCTAGATCTATCTAATCTTTAGAATCACGATCAGATGACGCGGCAGGCATCCCCCTTGCGACATCAAACAAGATGGCTGTAGCAATAAATATCGGCCAATGGCATTTAGTTGTCGTTGTTAGAACCCAACTAGGAAAGCTAGGAGGCTTAGGCTTCTAAAGGCTAAACGCGTAACTTAGCCTCCTATTAGGCCTACAACTACAACTACAACGGTTGGAAGAGGAATACACTAAAGAAAGTGGCTATTCTCACCCGCCCGGAAGTTCTCGCAAGATCAACTCCTCCCCTCTTCTCTCTCTCTCTGTCTCTTTCTGAATACTGTCTATCGGTGTGGACGATCAAATTGACCAAAACAAAGTTAAAAAATGATGTTAAAACACAAAAGTAAATTAATTTGGTTGTCTACAAAGATCGAATCGAGCCGAACTACGCGGGTCGCCATTTTGTTTTGCCCGGAAATTCTCGCGCTACTCCTCTCTCTCTTTCTCTCTCTCTCTCAACTGCCCACAGACAAAATTGTACGCTTTTAGTTTTAGTAGGCTACAGTTGTAATGGAACGTTTGTTCACGGCACAGAATTCTACAATTTTTCTGTTATCACAGTGTAGAATTCTGTGGTTTAGGGTGAACGCAAAATTTGGTGGACGCGCACCGGGTGAGAATAGCCACAAGACTCGCCTGCACTATTAGGTGGCCTACACTAACAGTAACAGTTAACAGTGTGAGTGATAAAGCTGTTACTGTTGTTGAGATAAATCTAACTTTTTGAGTTAGGGCTGCATCCTAGTCATGGAGTTTTAGAGTATCGAATTTTCTATAAAACAAAGCCTTCTTACGCAGATATTTACAAAACAGAGATGATTATGCACCTTCACGAACGCCCTGCAGATTATGTTCACTGTTGACTTTTTCGTTGCTTTCACAAAGATGCTAAGCTAATACGTTGAGCGCGTCATGTAGCAGTCCAGGCTGTTAAAAATTAAGACACCACTTAGCGTTCGTTCGACAAGACGTTTTTGGCATCGCCTCTTATTAAAACAAATAATTGCATTTACACACACACACACACACACACACACACACACACACACACACACACACACACACACACACACACACACACACACACACACACACACACAGTATTATAATAGGCCTAACCATCATCGTGAATAAGAGCCAGTCCTGAATACACAGCGAACATGATTCGCCATTCTTTTCTCTTCCCAGAAGCTCAAAATTGTAAAAACCTAAATTATAACAAAAAAAGAAAATTAAAATAACCCGTAGGCTGCTATTTAATTACCCTATTCTTTCATTGTCACCGGTCTCTTTAGGTTCTGTGTGCTAATTAATTGTTCTTGATCTACACGTGGATCGAGGGTGTCATGGAAACCCTAAGAAAACATAATATCACAACTGAAAGAGCTGCGGAGCTGACTTACCATAGAAAACTGCATCTCCCCTCGACTCGACGCTTAACAACGGCAACGGAGGATGAAAAAGTAAAATAAAATCTACACCCTACACGTGACTCCTTTGTCTTTATTTTTTTTCAATGAGATCAACTCGTTCAAGGTCTGTACCGGTATACATGTATAATAATATAGTCCTTGCACTGTTCAAAGTGCCCCAGAATTAACAATTAACATATTATTTATTAAATGTTATAAGTCTCTTCTTTATAGTTTTTATTAGAGGGCGGACCAGGCACAGCTTTTCAGTATTTTCTTTATTTGTCTGGGGATTTTTTGCTGTTTTTTTAATTATTTTTTTTTTTACCATAATGAGATGTGTGTAATTTTTCATAATTTGACTCACTTCACGAGGCCCGCAGATTCCAGAATGAAGCTTGTAGACTTTTTCTAAGACTGTTAATAAAACTGTATCTGGATAATTCTGATGTCGGTTATGTTTTATCCATTCGCTTTAAAACCTGTTAGGGCCAGTCGATCCCAGATGTGTGGGATCTGGTGCCAAAGCACAAGAATGGGTATAGTTTAAGGGGGGGGGGCTGGTTTTAGATTGACGATTTTGGGTTAATTTATGGTATCTGGACTTTTCACGCATTAAAGTAACATACTTCAACCACGTGTAAATCTAAAAAATGTTTATTCTTTGTGTTATATTGATCATCTTTCATATTTTCTGTCCTAGAACTTTTATGTTATCTATTGTGTAACAAAATGTCGCTTTTTCTAAAACTTCAATTTTTGATACTTTTTCTCATCTACTTTTTTAAAATTTTCATTTTGATTCCAGTGGAATATTCAGGGCTTGTTATTCACACTATATAACCTAACTTTTAACAGGTGGAAAATCAAATCAATGCATTCATAAGTGAGTTACGTGGATGATTAGGCTATGTAATCGAATTCAGAGGCATGACGGAGTAGGTCAGTTATCCATCTACTTTAACTTTTTTTTTTCCAATTCAAGATATCCAAGATCCCAAGAGTATGAAATTTTGTATTGAGTATATCGTATAATATCTTAAAAATGTACCAAATTTGGTTGGTAAATAAAAATCCTTTTTGCTTTCATGAAAGTTATTTATTTTCAATACGGCGGTCGTTGCCATGGAAACCGTAGACTTAACAAAAAATTTAAGTTACATTTTAGAGATGTTCACCTGTTATTCCTCCATGCTACATGGCTTTATCTCAAAGGTCATAGTCACCGAGATAGGTTTAACCCCCCCCCCCCTCCTGCCCATCTCCAATATAATAGATGTTCTGGCCTTAGAATTAAATATGTCTTGTGTGCAGTGGTTATTTAATAGCCTGACCAATACACCGCTATTTTTATGTATTTATTTATCTATTTATTCATTTGTTTATTTATTCATTTATTTTTGGTAGGCTAAGTGTTTACGGCGCTAGCAACTGCATAAAGTCATGTAATAATATGGGCGCGTGGTACACATAAAGCATTTTTCAGTTTGGTAGAAACTCATTTTGAATTTTTCGCAGGTGCTAGCCGAAGCCTATTCTTATCGATTTTTTTGGACCACCAAGGGATCTTTCACGTGTGCAACTTGCACGCCCCCCCCCCCTACCCCAATATTTCGCCCCTATCCGAGAAGGCTTGGTGTTAGACTTTACCGATCCTAAGATCAGGGGTAAGGCTGAAAGACAGCAGCAAGAATTAAGAGCCAAAAAAGAGGGTGAGGGGGCAGAAAGTGGAGACGAAAAGCAAACGAAAGAACATGACAAGAGAGCAGGAAAGGAGGACAACTGGAAATAAACATTCAGAGAATGTTCCGTCCTTGTTAGGTTTTGAATCCGGGACCTATTGAATAAGAGGCGAACACCGTACTTCTAGTCCAGGAGAGCTCCCCTTACACATCTATGGTACTATCCATAATAATATTACTCTTTACACTGTAGGATGGCGCTCTAATTGCCTTTCACTTATTCCGAGATGTACTGTTAGGCTACACAAAACTTTAATCCAGAGCAACTTTGCGAAACGACAACTCGTTGTCCAGGAGACATGTAGGCTTAGGCGTTTTGGGCAGATAAGGCTAGTCTTCTTGGGCAAAAAGATGAAAATGAAGAAGAAAAAAAAATCGTATCTGATGTTCCAAGCTGGACGCTGGATGTCGTCACAGGCGTTGGATTACAGTAAACATAATAGGCCTACCCGTAAATACCCCGTGCTTATTGGAAGATCGGTTCGGTTCGGTTTCTGGTGGCTTCAGTGCTCGCTATAATAATACGACATGATGTAAATAGACCAACTGCCCAAACCGCAGATCGCCAGACGCACGGCCTTAAAAACAAACACGTTTGATGTTGAAGGTCATCATCGGTTTCGTCAGTTTCGTCGGTTCCGTCGGTTTCCTCCGTTTTGCCTCTCCCGAGGAAGACAATACGACTATTAAACCCTAAACAGCCAAACCAATTAAATCGAACCGATTTTGCCAATGGGCACCGTCTATATATGAGGACCACTGATTTTTTCCTTCTTTCGAAGACAGTGGGAAGAACAGAATTAATTGTTTGTTTTGTGTTATTGTTTTTCTTTCTTTTTTATATTCTGTTAATATTGGTTTAATTCATTAGAATATGCAAGGCAATCAGAAATTTGTATTGTCGGTTTGAACAGGTTTGGGACTGTTGGGTGATAAAGATAATATATGCACTTACAGGGGCGAAGGCTGACTTGTTTGACAGGGTAAT